AAGCACAATGGGGGCTTTGAAGAAATGTAATTGGTTAAATGAGGCATTGGGAAATACTATTAAAGGCATTCAGCATTTGACTTCCCATACTCCTTGCATCAAAATCTTGTCATTCTATCATGGATCACATTCAGTAAGAATGTAGAAACTTGCTGGATCAGTGTCATAATTTGCATAAAAATAATATACAGACACCATGTTTTAAGCTCATTTGCACACACTTGATCAATACATCCTAATTGGATCCTCACCTTCATTCTGTTACAGTAGCTCTCTCACTCTGGTTTGCTTGATGTTTGCTTGGTTCTTTATGTTCCTTATGTCTTTATGTTCCTTAAGTGCTTGATGTTTCTGCTTCACATTGTATTAGATGGGTGATTAAGTGATGGACAGGAAGAAGGGTTGTAGGGTTTGTTCTTGCTAAAGTGACTATTCAATAAACTTTTAAAGTGATTCATTTCAATCAGCTTACTGTCCATGGTAGGTATGATACATAAATAGTAGCTTAATTTTTCATAGACAGGAACTGCTCTGCTTTCCTCATGGCATCTCTTTGTGGTTGTCTTTAAATACAGAGGCAGCAAATATATAACACATACTTCTATTTGGTTACATTCAATCCATATCATTGGCCTTGCTCACATGCCACTTTAAACCATAGTTAAACTTAAGTAAGCTATGGTCTGGCTTAGCAATACAGCTGAACCTGGGCAAACAAACCATAAGCATAAAGCTAAGAACAAACCTTGGTTACAGCTTGTGGTTTGTTTGGAGAAAGACAAATCACAAGCCCAGCTTTGGGTGTAACACTAAACCTGACCATGGCTTGTTTCCTGGCAGTCTAGCAGCAGCAGGGGAGGAGTGAAAGGTGCATGGCTTTAGCCCCATGCACAGCTAAGTTTAACTATGGTTTAAAACTGATGTCAAAACCAGACATTTTAACTGATAGATTTGTATTTTTTTGGGAGGGCGGGGATGACGACCACATAGGTTAAATTCATAAAGGTTTATGAGCAAATAATATGTTTTCCCTTAAGGAGGCCCTAGCTTTCTTTAACGTAGTCATTATCTGCCATCTCAGCCACCTGTATTTGCACTAAGCTGCAAAGCGACATCTCAGTAGTTTTCCTGGCTACCACTTTTTTCTCTCTTTCTTCAAGAGACAGAATGTTATAATCTCTTTTTTTCTTCTTTTGGAGATGGGGAGCAGTTTCTGCAAAGCTAAAATGAGTGTGTCAATTATAGGGAATGTTTAGTATTTGTGTATTTTGTACAATACAACAAACATTAAACTGATGTCTCTTGAGGGTTTTTCTTGTTCACATCTGTTGTGAGGTAGGAGGCATGAAAATCATTGCTAACTTGAATCGCCTGCTGTTCTGTTTTAGGTACATGCTTATATCATTAGTCACCTGAAGAAGGAAATGCCTTCGGTATTTGGAAAAGAAAATAAGAAGAAAGAACTGATCAACAAGCTACCTGAGATTTATATTCAGTTGCAGCAACAGTACCAGATCTCACAAGGGGACTTCCCTGAAGTCAAGAAAATGCAGGTACAGTACCTTAACAGATGGATAGTTTGTTTACCTCTAATTATTTCAATCACAGCTTTATCATAAAAAACTACCAAAAAACAACAGTACATTTATTTCCTGCCTTTCAAGGTGTCATTCATAGTTATCCCCCACTCCTTTTTTTAATCCTCACAGATAATAGGTAACCTCATAGTTGAATCTGGCTCGAAATTAGGACCATGTAGAAGTCACGTCAGTGGGATTACTAATAAGGCATTGCTCAAAAATGGCTGTTGTTTCAGGTTTCATAAGCCTGGACTACACATGAGCCAAGCTACACATTATGCTGAGTTGCATATAGTTTTTTGCCTTGAAGTGGGATTTTTTACTTTACAAATTGATCTTGGGGTGGTGGTGTCTTTATGTGAAACAGAAGTTCTGTGCAGAGGGAAGAGGGGAAAGGCTTTAAAAGCTCCCATCTCCAGTGGTTTTTTTTCCTGGGATCTCAAGAAGTAATGGGGGAAATCAAAACCCTGTAGCTGCAGATACCAGTACCCCCTCCCTGGGGGACTTTGGGGGAGAGAGCTACTGAAAGGGTAAGGGGTCAAAAGCCCCATTCCCCATACTGGTCTTCTACTTGATATTGTAGCCTCTGCAGCTGCATTTGGTGGTGTTGGGGCTTATGGCAGAACTTCCAAGTTTGGTGTTGAAAGGTATGTAGATTATGAGAATGTCAGCGGAAAGTCATATCTCTGTTTCTCTTCAAGTTGCTCAATACCCTTCTGAAACAGTGAACAGCTGAGACAATTGAGAAATGAATTGCTAACTGAAACTGTCACTCCATGAACAAACACAAAAAAGTGTATCTTTAAGAATATCATCCAGTAATTAAGGCTGACTACACAGCCATTGTTGTGGCTGTATTGTGGTAAGCTGAATTTTTTGCGGGCTGTCCCAGAGTGGCAAGATTCTCTCTGGATTCACAGGCACCTCTTCAGATCATAATTGGGCCACAAACGGGAAGCCATTTGAAATGTGTGTTATAACAAGCTGTGACTTTCAATAGATAATTCCACTGTGCCAGAACTGCCTGGAAACATCAATTCAGGGTGATTTTGTTATGCAAGAACAGCCCTAAGAGAGCCTCTTTTGTAAAGTAAATAGATAAGTAGGGGTGCAATATAAGAACAGCCCTGCTGGATCAGACCAAAGGTCCATCTAGCCCCAATTTCCTGTGCTCACAGTGATCAAGCAACTGCCTATGGGAAGCCTACAAGGAAGGCATGAGTATAATAGCACTATGTGCTTATGATCCCCAGGACAATATTTAGAGGCATCTTGTCTTGGTTCTGGGAGTAGTCCATGGATGGCCATCATGACTAGTAGCCATTGATAACCTGAGCCCTTGTGAATTTATCTAGTCCCCTTTTAAAGCTTCCCGTTTGTTGCCATCTCCACATCTTGCACAAGCAAATTCCATAGTTTAACTGTGCACTATGTGAAGAAGTATTATATCTGTGTCTTTTTGTGTTTGTTCATGGAGTGACAGTACAGGGTAAAGGTTTGTAAGTACACAGTCTTACTGTCAGCATTCTGTTGTTTCTCTTCAAGTACCTTGGCTTCCTTCTATCTAAAGCATTTCACAGAACTATATTTTTGTGTTGTTTTTCCATAGTTATAAACATGAACACGGCTTCCTAAATTGAAGGCTTCTTTCATGCAACATTCATTCTGGAATCATCCTTATTCACACTTGGCAGATGCCAAGAATTTTATCAAGGAATTGTTGAACAGTGTTCTTACTTGCAATCATTTGTTTTTCCATTTCACAGGAGCAGTTGGAGAAATACGACTTCACCAAATTCCATTCTCTGAAGCCAAAGCTGATTGAAGCTGTAGATAATATGCTGGCAAACAAAGTTGCCTACCTCATGACTCTGGTGAGCCAGGAAGAGCGTAACACGCCTGCGCAGAAGGTTCAAGGTGGGGCATTTGATGGCACCACAGTAGGACCATTTGACCAGGGCTATGGGGAAGGTGCCAAGGAAGGAGCCGACGAGGAGGAGTGGATTGTTGCCAAAGATAAACCTATATATGATGAAATCTTTTACACTCTCTCGCCAGTCAATGGTAGAGTCTCTGGGGCCAATGCAAAGAAGGAAATGTTGACCTCCAAACTGCCCAACAGTGTCCTGGGAAAAATCTGGAAGCTTGCTGACTGTGATAACGATGGCATGTTGGATGAGGAGGAATTTGCATTAGCAAAGCATCTTATCAAGATAAAACTGGAGGGATATGAACTCCCCAGTAGCTTGCCTGTCCATCTGGTACCTCCATCGCATAGAAAACCTTTGCGTGGGGCACAGTGATAAACGCATTCTAAAAATGTTAAAAATTCAGTACCTGTTACAGTTAAAGATTGTATAACACACTTGAAGGTAGGGTTTTTGTCAAGCATTTTAGGGCCACTTCAAACACTGAATCTGTCCTATGTGGGTACCACTTGCACATGAAAAAGCACAGAAGCTATCATGTACCTCATGCACTGGGGAGCGATGCTTAGTGGCAGTTTTCTCATATGTGCATTTGTGCAACATGCATATCTTGTAAAATAAACATGTGTATAATCATGGCGTGTGTCATGACAGGCTCCACATGCTTTCTGGCATTTGAAGTGGCCCTCAGTTAGATGCTGCATTCCATGCACATTACAGGAACTGGCAACATAGCACAGGGATAAACCTATGTTAATAGATCTGAAGGCCCTTCAGTAAAAGGGCAGCAGGGGGAGTATTTCTTACAAGTGCCTTTGAAAATTACCTTCTGTTTTTTGTGGGTAAGGTTTTTGACATTTTCCCCCCACTGTGTTTACAATCAAAATACTAAACTGGGATTGAGCAGATGTAAAAATAGTTGCAACTATATACTAAACAATACTTTGATAACACAATGCAAAACTACCTTTATTCTTCAAAAGGAAATCTAACATTTTACACTTCCAAGGAGGCAGGAATTTGTTCACTAATCATACTTGAAAAGAAAATCCACCTTCTCCAATTCCATTTAGAGATTGTAAGAATGCGCTTCAGTTCAGTTTTTTTTATTTTTTTAGCCAAAACTTAAAGGCCTGTCTTGGACTAGACTTCTTTACAAAGTTGTAATTGTTTGGGGAAGGAGAAAAGGGGAACGTATGCATGGAAAGAGCTTTCATAAGAATATGAAATTGTATTTAGAAAATCAACAAATTACTATATTTGAAAGTTATATATATTTAAATTGACATTTTTAAAATCTTACAGCTCTTTAGCTACTGTAGAGGTTATCACTGTTGCCTCTGTATAAGTAGAATATATATGAAGAGCCCTGCTGGATCAGGCCAAGGGTCCAACAGTGGAACCCAGTGTCAGGACATGAAGGCAATAGTCTCTGCATTGTTTACCTTCACATCTGCTAGTTGGAGGTGTGCTGTTCCTAAACATGGAGATTCTTTTTTAGCATCATGCCTACTAGATAGAACTAGTCTCTATTTGTCTTAGGCATTTTTCAAGCTATCAAATACAGAGGCCTTTGCCACATCTTGTGGAAATGAATTCCATAAGTTAATTTTTGTTGTAATACTGTGAAGCCCATGGTAGTTGTTTGGTTGTTTTTTTAAGAATAAGAATAATGTGCATTATATACAAATATTGACACCTCTGTTCACTGCAATGATGATTTGCAAAAAGTCCATTTAGAGGGCTTAATCCCAAAGTACGACTTTGCTGAAAACACACCTACATACGTGACAGAGCTACTTTGCAGAATATATATATATATATATGCTTGTGTCAGTGGAGGGTGAGGTGACTTAAATTAGTTGATTATAATTTGCACAGGTTAAAGTAGTTTGATCTATTAATTCTAAGGCTTTATTTTTAACATGCACAGGAAACCTTCCTGTATATTCTAAGCTACAAAGTGTTATTTTCACTTCTTTCATTTATGGACCACCACTAGATTATGACTGCCTTGTGGCATGAAACCTGTACAGTGAATGCATCATGGGAGGGCTACAGCAGTCTAGCCAAAAGGCCTGTAGGTGTCCTTTCATGAAAGACAGAGCAAATGAGTCAGTTTCTCCTGTTGCATCAGCGAAGTACTATTCATTGACTTAATCACTTATGCTATCACCTGTGGACTCAGTCTGAGCAACAGATGCTGTCACCCAGAAATCTCCACACTTTATATGAAACTGCCTTATACACATTACTGGTCCATCTGTCTTAGTATTATCTACTGTTATCTATTCTGGCACTCCAGGGTCTTTCCCAAACTAGTAACTTCAGATCTTTCTAAACTGAGTTGTCAGGGATTAAACTTTGGACCTGCTTGAAAAGCAGAAGGCCCCTTCACAGTTTGTGTTGTGTGGAGATCAGCCTATCCCTATACAGTAGCTGAGAAACTTAAGACTGATGTAATCATCATCTTAGTGCATCCTGTTAATGCTATAGTTCAGTGAGAAATCAATTAACAAACTAACAGCTCTGTTTCTACTAGGTTTGTGTGTGTTCTTTGTTTGCAGGCACAGACATCACTCGGGATAAGTTGCATAGGCTAACTTAGTGTTCTTCTTGCTTTCTGGGGCTTATGGATTTCAGAATAGTTTATTTTTTGGCCAGGATTGTGATGGGATAGGGGGAAGAATGGGGAGGGTGATGGGGGGAGGGGAGAAAGGAAAGAAGACAAATGAGTCAAGAGGCCAGACTTCAGGAAGAAGTTTGTTCATGTTCTTGTTGCACCTTGAGTCTTTACCTGCTCCTGTGTGTTTATTTCGAGACCACTCTTTGACAATACTTTATTACCTTTTCAGAAGAAAACTGAAGTCACTGAATGCTAGCAGATAAGAGACTGCAAGATCAGATTTTATCTGTTACATCACGTGTAGGCAGAATATATTATTTCTCTTACAGCTCAGAAATCCAATTTCACTCGTATTTAATTGACCTCATGTTCTGGAGAAAAGTGTCTCTTGCTGCACTATCTTTTTCTAGAACAGTAGTTAGTATTTATCTAAGCATCTGCTTTTCTTGTGCAATTTCCTCAGATTTTTGTTTCTCCCCACCATGAAATCATTTTTCCTGTTATTTATTATCCTGCAGTGATTTTAGAGGTTTTGTAACTGAAATGTGCTGCAATTTCAGTCGGCTAAGTAGAAACAACCATCTTTTTGTCAACTACAGTGTCAGAATTTTTGAATGACTTTTAAACATGGTAGAGTTGCGGTTTTAGGTAAAGTCACACAAATAATGAAACTTGTTTGCTTGTTTGGGCTATGATCCTTATTATTTCAAGAACCCGAAGTTTTGATCTATGAGCCTCTTCATGCGGCTTCATACTTGGTGTAAGAATCAGTGGAATATGAAACATGACTGATCTGGACATCTTTTTTCATGCTTCTAGAGTCTTTTGTGAGTTGCCCTTATGCATATATCCCTTGTGGCGAGCTGCATCCTACATTGATAATACACACTTCAACTCCTTTTCATTATCACTCAAATATTGTCATCTTCATTATACCTGTTTATAATTAGTTTTTTTTCCCATAGTCTAATAGTTCTAAACATCCTCAAATGATATGAACCACTTTATTTAATCAGAGTCTCTATACCATTATTGTTACATATTTATAGATCCAAGATCAGGTCACTTAAAAAATAAATAACAATGATTGACCAATCCTTATATTACTGTGAAATATTTCAAGTGTCATCAAGAGAATATATATTATTGCTTTTTGTTTGCTAAGGTTCAAATAACAAAACTCTTGGTAGAAATATTAATTTTCTCCCCAAGAGCTTAAATTCATTGGTGTTGCACTTTGATTATCTGCACAAATCATTACAGACGCTGTAATATATTTTTGTATATGTTTATAAGATTTCTCCTTTTTGTGTGTAACGATTCTGGGAAATAAAATTCGCTGTTTAATAAAGTTACTTGCATGCTTGTGGTTGGTTTATTCATTTGTCTATTCCTGTGGAGGGCTGCTCTCCAGTGGTTAGAAGGTAGTATAGCGGGAGCTGTACTTCCTATATAAAAGCTCTAGAGCTGATACAAACTCAGTACTGAACTTGGTAATTTGGTATTATTGCATTGTACCTTTTCTGGATTTAAGTTTCAAAAATATTATTGCCAAATTATAGACAGGAAATTGGAAGATTTGAAAATTTCACACCATAAACATAACATTTTCAAACCTTAAAAAAGTGGTTCTTTCAAACCTTGAGACCTCCTCCTTTCCCCTCCATGGGTTCCAATTCTATTTTCCCCCCCTGCATCTTTTCCTGTAATCTATTATATAATGGTAAGTATCCAAAATCCATGTTACATTACAAGTGTCATTGTATTCCTGCCCATGATTTCAACTGTTTACAGTGGTCTCTCAGATACGTTAGAAATTTATTCCAGTCTTTTAAGTCTTTAATACAGTCTTCCAGTCTTTAATACTTGGTCTTCCTGATTTCTGATCTTTCCCATCAGTCTAGCCATTTCTGCATATTCCATCAGTTTGGTCTGCCACTCTTCTCTGGTTGGTACTTCTTCTTTCCATCGCTGGGCAAGAAGCATGATCACTGCTGTCGTTGCATACATAAACAGTCTTTTATTTTCTTTTGATAGTTCCGCACCTGTAATGCCTAACAAAAAAATGCCTCTGGTTTTTAAACAAAAGTTATCTTAAACATTTTTTTTCAGCTCATTATATATCATTTCTCAGAAAGCTTTTACCACCCCACATGACCCCCACATATGATACAACATAGCCTCCTTCCTTTTACATTTCCAGCATACATTTGAACTGGTTCTAAACATTTTCACAATTTTGTTGTTGTTGTTTAGTCGTTTAGTCATGTCCGACTCTTCACAACCCCATGGACCAGAGCACGCCAGGCACTCCTCTGTCTTCCACTGCCTCCCGCAGCTTGGTCAAACTCATGCTGGTAGCTTCGAGAACACTGTCCAACCATCTCGTCCTCTGTCGTCCCCTTCTCCTTGTGCCCTCCATCTTTCCCAACATCAGGGTCTTTTCTCTTCTCATTAGGTGGTCAAAGTATTGGAGTCTCAGCTTCAGGATCTGTCCTTCCAGTGAGCACTCAGGGCTGATTTCCTTAAGAATGGATAGGTTTGATCTTCTTGCAGTCCATGGGACTCTCAAGAGTATCCTCAATTTTCTTCGCAACTTTGCTAGGTGTCAAATACCAACGGTACATCACTTTCATATGGGTATGGAACTACTTCTGTCCACTTACTCCCAGCTGCATAATCAACATGCAGTGGTACTGCACAACCATGTTCGGATTGGTAGCAGCCACAAACATCAACCTCACACTCAAGGTGGCCCTGAAGGGCACCATAAATTCAAAATGCTAGACTCCTCCTCCACCGGCAACTGCCATCTCATGCTTTATTTCCATTGGCCAGCATTTCGTGCTCAGGCTGCCTGCCCTTGAGTGAGAACAGCAGGACAAGAACCCTTTTGCAGTGACTCCCCATCCTTCTGGAGCCCTCAGGAAACCACCCATCTTTACTGTCCCAGCTCAACCAGCCTTTGATAGTTACTTCTCATTGAGGAACCAGAGGGTTGTCTAGAATTTAGCATACAGTTTGCAAAGCTATGCCTCAAAAGGAAAGCTCACTTATTCCTAGCACCCAGCGGTGGAGGAAGCCTCTTGGGCACCTGGGGCGGTGTGCCCAGGGGCACGGGGCACCCACAGGGATGGGGCATGCTGTAAGGCCTCAGCCGCCCTACAGCTGGGGGGGAGGCAACAGGTGGACAGCGTGGAGCCTGTGGGCGCCTGAGACACGTGGTTTGGGTGCACTGCAGGCCCAGCGGTGAGTGCTGCCTGCCATTTTGTCACCCCCCTCAGTGGGGACACCCAGGGAGAGCCACACGTACTGCACCCCCCCTTGCTATGCCCTTGCTAGCATCATCACATTTTGCTTGTGGCTGCATGCAAGAAGAAAACAGAAAGGAAAGTGAAATGCTATCTCTTCCCAGTGAGGCCCGCTGCCATTCACTTATTGTACAATCTTTGTGGGGGTGGAGAAGTATACTCTCTGCCTTATAAGAGCAGAAAGGAGCTAATGAGATAATAAGTTATGTGAACAAGCCATTCAGAAAATGATTAAATCAGATTATGGAAACTATAACACATGGCTGCCTGATTCACAATGCAAGGTTACCAACTGGTATTTTACAGGAGGCAATAACCGTGTCAAATCTTGAGGCTTTTGCCTGAAGTAAAGGTAAAGGGACCCCTGACCATTAGGTCCAGTTGTGACCGACTCTGGGGTTGCGGCGCTCATCTTGCTTTATTGGCCGAGGGAGCCGGCGTTTGTCAGCAGACACCTTCCGGGTCATGTGGCCAGCATGACTAAGCCACTTCTGGTGAACCAGAGCAGCGCACGGAAACGCCGTTTACCTTCCCGCCAGAGCGGTACCTATTTATCTACTTGCACTTTGACGTGCTTCCGAACTGCTAGGTTGGCAGGAGCAGGGACCGAGCAACGGGAGCTCACCCCGTCGCAGGGATTCGAACCGCGGACCTTCTGATCGGCAAGTCCTAGGCTCTGTGGTTTAACCCACAGTGCCACCCATGTCCCTTTGCCTGAAGTACTGAGTCACAATTATTGCTTTAAATGGAACTGTAAACAGATTTCCTAACATAGTTCAGGTACAAAAGAGCAGAACATCACTCCACTTATTGGAAACTGGAAGGGCAGCCATTTCTTTGAAGAACGTAAGCCTGTTGCACAAGTAGTGAAAATTAGGGGTCCCCAGGATAATTCGGATAGCTTGTTTTCTTTTGATCATTACTCTCAGCTCCTGCTGTGCTCTGTTAACTACTGAAAATCAGCTGCCTTAGCACAAAGTTTGATGAACCTGAAGGAATGCTCAAATTTCTTTGGTTCTTTTTATATGATTGATTTTTCTGTGTTTTTATATAGAAAAACAAGTCTTATATTTATCTGTAAGCTGCCTTGAGTCTTTGTCAGGGAAAAAGCAGGGTGTGTGTGTGTGTGTGTGTAATGTCTTATTTTATTCACATCAGCCCAAAGGGTCATATTATATGGAATAAACTTCTGGCAGGCTAGCTGCAGCCAATGGCCCAATATTGTAAATTAATTTATGAAATGAAGGCTTTCTAATTCCAACACTTGGCATTTATTTCTATACTTTATGGAATTACCTCTATTGGAATTACCTTTGTCATTTACAACCTTGTACTATGGGCCAGGTAGTGACTGGAATCATCTACTCCAACTTAGCGTGGGAGGTACATATTTTCTTTATCATGAGCACCTGCCGGCATCGGAGCCCAACTTCCTCTTCTAGTACATTATGTCAGCATTTGAACTGCTGCAGATATATCATAACCATTCTGCTGAGAACCTTTACCCCCAATATTCTAATGACCTTTTCCCTCCCCGGCCAGGTGTAGAGTTTTCATATAGATTAGAAATACTTTCTCACTGTCACAGTATTCAAAGGTCACTTTGAATGCCAGAATAAACCAGCAGTTCTGGAGTAAAAGTGTTGAATGGTGCCTTGCTGGCTTTCAAAGGGACATCTTCACAAGGCTGGGTAAGTTTAGACTTGAAGGAATTCCTTTGCTTTCTGTGGATGGGGCAAATGAGGGTATAGGCATTTGAGTCATCTCAGAATTGCTTGAAGACAAATGTTATCCTTGCGAGAAGGTATGTTCTTACAAGTGACAGGCGAGATGTTCTAAAAAGAACTGATAGTCCTATTGTATGGTAGTGCATGTGCAAAAAAAAAAGTAAGTGAAGAAATGACAACTAAACAGAAAGCATAATCATTTTTAGCTGATTTTGGTTGACAAGTGATCCAGCCATTTTGCTGGGAAGGCAAGGAGGATAATGTATCTTCTTCAGGAAGAAAAAAAGTGCTGAGGACTTCCCGAAATGTGCGGGAGCTGGGGAATTGTGGGCAAAAATCCCTCCTTCCGGCAGTTGCCTTGAGGGGTGAAAGGGCTGCTTCAGAAAATTAGATTTCTGCCTTAAGCAGCTTTTTAAAAACAGTTAATTCTCCCTTTGTGCGGGAGGACCCTTGAACTTGTTGTGGAGTCCTGGGTATGAACTGAAAAGTAGGGTACCAGCATTTTGTCTTCCCAGAAGTACATGTCACTGGGATATATTTTGCCAGCAAATGGTGACTGTCATCACTTAAAAAATATTTGAGCACACTTCATAAACAGTGAATCAGGTCTGAGGAGGCTTTGGTTATGGGTCATCTACCACATCCCCTAAGACCAGATCTGACCACAAAGATCTTTCAAGCACCACTATTCAGTCACTGCACCATAAAAGTTGGTTGTGGGGAGCCCAAGTACATTTTTGGGTGAACCGATTGTGTCCTGAGTGTTGGATTTGTTAAGTAAGAAATGATGGAATCTCACACGAATGCTAATTGTTCTGAAGTTTTGATGAAGCTAATCATCAAAGAAATTGTTTTTTATATCAAATATTAACTAACCTAACCAAGTTCAAATTAGAAATGGGGGGGGGGGGTAAGGAAAATGGCTTTAAAACAAGGAGCAACTCCTTGGTGTACAAATTAGGCAGGCAAAATGCTGGTGTTTTTCTTCAGAAAGCACAATTACTTAGAAACTAGTGCAAGTGGAACCAGAAAAGCAGGCTGTCATTAAGAGCAAACTGATACATGAGGTTAATATATGAGGTTTACTAAGGAGTCCAACACTCTTGCGTATGCAAAAGATACCTCTCCTCAAGTAGCGGCCCATCAATAAGAGGCAGCTACTGGTTTGGGGAGCCCTTGCCCTCAACTCAATCTCTGGAACTGCTTCCAAGATCTCTTTGTTAGTAACAGGAAGCTTATACTGAGCCAGACATTTGGTCCATCTAGCTCAGTATTGTCTATTTCAAGGGTCCCAAACTATGGTTTGTGAACCACATTCAGGTGGTCCC